TGGCATTCACGGGACGTCCCTTTGGAGGGAGAGCGCCTCGGCGTCGCGCGAACGCCGTCCCTAAGAGCGAATCGTCGGCGCGTACTCGGCGCGGGGCGTGCGTCCCGACGGGGTAATTGCGGCGGACTCGCTGGCGACGTCTCCGCGCACCTTTCCGCCCCGATGTATTTATGAAAGCTGCGCGATTCAATTACCGACTCGCCGAGGAGGGAGGCGGAGAAGAACCGCTCGGCTGCGCCCGCGAAATCTCTCGAATCCCGTCCCTTAAAGTTTCCCCCGGCCCGGGGCTGCCGAAGGGCCGGCCATTGAACGCTCGGGGGAGTCGACTCGGCGACGGGCGACCATTTCGAGACGCGGTCTTCTCCCGATCTGGACTCTTTCCCCTTCTCGACTACTTCGGCTTACTTACGTTTTCATTGTAACGCTTCCGCGATCCCCGGAGGACTTTCGAGGAGTCGCCGAGCGGCGCGAGTCCTCGAGTCTTGGCGCCGCGTTTAAGCGACCCCACCTCTCGCTCGAAACGCGGTGTTACGGCACCGAGTGATAAATATTTCAAACGTACATTTCGAAAAAGAGCCACCGAGACTCTAAGTGCCGACTCCGCTTCTCCGAACGACGAGGCGTTTTCCCCGCCTCGCCGGCGCTGTCGCGTTTGAGTTAATCACGCTCCCCGGAGACGGTTTCCGGGAGATGAGCGTTTTGCCGTTCGGTTCCCGGCGAGTTATTTGCCCGATTCGCAGGGGGTTCTCTCCGATTTCTCGGCCTCGCTGCCCTCTCGGTGTTCCGTGGATCCCACCTCTCTTTCCAGCGACCGCGCGACGTCTTCGCGATATCCCGGTCTCGTCTCTGGGACGCGAAGCACGTCCCGAAGCAACTTATAATTGACCGAACATTTGTCCGTGACAGTTCTTGTTCCCGGCTCTCTCTTTACCCCTTTGCTCCCCCCGCCACCCTTGCTCTCCGTTTCGCGAATCGACGAAATTACTAGGGTCTCGGGTCGGGGAAGGAGAGCCGCGTCGCTTCCGTAATGCCGCGCTGTTTACCGGCCGCTTAAGGAAGTTTCCCCGCGTCCCGGTTGGAGCCCCGAGATTAGTTTTACGGGCGGAAACGCGTTAAGACGGGGCGATTTCGCCGCCGAGTCCTCGATAGCCCGGACTCTCCGAAAACGTCCCCCGAATAGGGGACTCTCGGGGCCCTCGAAGGGCGAGCATCCGGCTGGGCTCGAGGGAAATGGGAAAGGATAAATTAAAGCGCCGAGATTGATTTTACGGCAGGAGATCGGTTTAAGGCGCGTAGATTCCAAGGCGGATTTAGAGCCTCGAACGGCTTACAGCGCGGATGGCACGCCGATGTAAATTCCGCGCGATTCGTAAGGCTCCCGGAACGGCGCTCCTCCGGATGTGACCGAATGGCCATTGGAAAACTATACCCCGGGTTGCGAAACTTTACGACTACGTGTACGCGACGGGCGACGCGACGCGGCGCCGGGAACGCGAGTCGTCTCGCGGCGGATAAACGCCTCCTCGTTAAGAGCCACCGGAGTCGCTCCAGCGGGACTCGCGAGGAAATTGAAACGGTCACCGGGGCAAGAAGGAAAACGTCTCGATTATGAAAATGCGCCAGGAGCGCAGTTCCTAGAAACGTGCCCCCTTGTTCGCGACGTACTTCCCCAAAGTTATTTGCAATGGGTTGTTTCCGAGTCGTAACGAGCACCCGTTTTGCACGTTCCCCCGTTTCTCCGGAGGAGCTTTTTGCAATTTCTCAGAGTATTTCGAAAGCGCGGCCGGGGCAATCTTCCGGATGCGGAGGAGGTTTTTCGCACTTTCCGGGGGCGGTTTCCCGCTTTCGCGGCGGGATCGTAAAACCGGCCGGCTCCTCGATCTTCGACGGAAGATCGAGCGGCCCTCGCGTAGCCGACTTTTTATTTCGTCCTGTCGGGGCGACGTTTGCGGCGAAATAAAGGTACGACGACGCGCGTCGCGACGTCGCATCGAGGATGTAATAAAAGAAACGTATGACTCCCCGGTATACTTATCGACCGAGTGCTCTTAAGCTTCGGAAGTACTTCCGCGCGCAGTTCCCGGAAGGCTCGAGAAATTATGGTCACTCCGTCGAGTCTCTCGACTTTTTTCGCCGAGGATTGAAAAATTACTCTCGCGCTCCGTCGGACTCGACGCGTGGCGCTCCTTCCGAGACGCAAAGTCTGCCCCTTTCCTCTGGAGTCGACTTTTTCTCGGATGCGCCTCGAGTTCGGTCTCACCGTTGTCGAGGCAAGAAAAATAATTACGTGGCGTCCGTCTACCGGCGAGGGAGCGGGAGCGCGAGTCCACCTCGAAAATGCATGGAGTTTCGGTGGGAAAGGTCGATCGATAAGGAGGATTTTTTTCTTCCCTTTTTGACAACGTCTCTCCTCCGAGCGACGTACCCCGGTGTATTTCTCTAAGAAGCCGCCGCCGTGCCGAAAAAGCCAGTTTCCTCGGTGCAATTTATGTCGGTCTCGGTGCATTTCACATTCGGCCGTCGTGTCGCGTCCAGACGGAGACGTTATCCCGGGCTTCGGGTAAGACATCCCCCGAGAGAAGATGAAACCGAGAAGCAGAAATGGCGGAAATCCGAGTATCTCGAGTGCCGAAATTGACATTGATCCTATGGTAATTCCGAGGAACGTCGCGGATTCGCCGGATATCGCGGACTTCCCTATTCGAGCCCTTGTCGGTGATTTATGTCCACCGTTGGGACCGGAGGACCGAACTCTGTCGGCGGCCGTCGAGGAAACTTGGCGTGGAAAAGTTCGCCCCGAGTTGGACGGAGTCGCGGACCGAATTCTTCGTACGGCGCAACGGGAAAGGCAAATTCACCTTCATTTTCAACCGACGGGGTTCCGTCGGCCGGATATCAGGGGAGAAGAGGACATCGATCCGCGCGTCTCTTCGAGGGTTCGTTCGAGCCGAAGCCGCGAGCAAAGTCAATTTTCCGCTAAAGACGTTTCTTTATCGCCGAGGCGATGAAGAAATTTTCAGAAATTGCCAGGAAATTCTTTGTCGCGCCGTCAAAACTCGACCACCGAGGAGCGACCGGGGTTTCTCTTCCGTGAAGAAGGACGCTCGGAGGGTGAACGTAAATTGAGAACGTCGACGAGGGGGTGCACGGTGGACAGAGCTAAATTCGAATCCCTGGGACAAAGAGCTGAATTTTTTTTTTTTTTTAAGGAGGGGACGGGACTCGAATTTTCCAGGAGCTCATTAACATTCCGTACCGACACGGCCGAATTTAGACAAAGGACTTTCCACCCCGAACGGAAGATGTGTGTCGAGACAACGTAGAAATTCCGGGGCATGTCGTTAAAAGCAACTCACCGGGAGCAAAGATTTGCCCATCTCGTGGATTTCCTCGTGGGAATCTTCGGATCGAATTTTCGACTCCGCGAGAACCGAAAGAAGAAGCATCGATCCGCACGGCGAATATTCCTGGCGGTACTCGCGGATACCGTTATTGGGGTAGGAAGCATCGATCGATTCCGTATTAAAATTCCTACATTTGCGGCCCCGTATCGAGAGCGATACGATTGCCGCTCGGACCGGTTCGTATTCGACGTTCATCGCGATCGCTCGTCCGATCGCGCGATTTATAAGCGGCAGGAAGGAGATGTCGTTCCGGGCCGCGAAACGACGCCGCGGCTCTGGGCCAAAAAGTGTCGTCCGGCTCTCCACTCTCGGAGGGCTCTCGGAGTTACTCGAAGCACTCGAGAAGCGCGGCTTCGGCTTCGAGATACGAGGGAAACGTCGGTCGGTGCCGAGCCGATTCGTGCGGGGCGAGGGTTCGGCGTGCACGCGCGCAATTAATGAACGCCTTCCCGGTCGCGTTTTTCTCCTCCCGCGGCGCATCGCCGCCGCGTTCGTCTATCTTGGATGACTAATGAAAGGCAGCGCCGAGGGGGGAAAACGGAGCAACGGGCTGGATGAGAGATAGCTCGATGGATGGATGCGTCTTCTGGGGAGGGCGGGATATAGTTGCAACGTTAACGGAGCGCGATCATGCGTCTGTGCGTGAAACGACGACCCGACTAAACGGGAGAATAAAGTGGCGCATTAAGAGAGAATTGCCGGGAGCGAGGAGAGACACGGGTTCTGAATTATTGGCGTCATTGTCGGTACGGGCGGAGCGCGGGGTGTACGCGGTGCCTACCGTTTAGGGAAAAATCAATTACAACTGGACGGCGACGTTGCACCGATGATTCCGAGCACGGCGCGTGGCGCACCCACCGCCCTCCTGCCGATTCGATAACGATTGGACGCGACTCTCGTCGATTCGTTCATTTTCGATTTAATCAGGAAGAATGTTGCACGGGCGGCGTAGCGTGTAATAAATTTAATTGGCCGCCCCTCTTTCCTCGTGCCGCGCGTATTCAATTGTGGCATCCCCGGATATGGCGAGCGGCCGCGGATCCGGTCGGATCGTACCGGCGCTTCCTAGTTGCCCATTTAATTATTTCCCTATCGGAATCGGTAGTCGCTGCGGCGATACGGGTGCACGGTATACTTACTTTAATTTGGCAGGGGTTTTGGCCAATTACTCGAATTGGCGAGCACTCGAGGAGGGAGCACGCGGCGGGGTCGGGGACGTCTTTTCGGGATTTCTTCGCGAGTCCTAGGAGAGATTCTCCGCGGGCAGGAGCACATCCGCGTTATCGGTTCGTGCCGAAATTAAGTGCCTTCCCTCCTGTAGCGTTCGGGAAAAGTACCCTTCCGGATTCTCACGGTAGAAATTTATGTGGCCTTCCCATCTCCGCGCATTTGTTCCTTCCTGGCTGCATTCGGGAGCCGAGAGCAACCGGTGCGGCCGCCGAGAGGAGTTCCCTCGTAAATTTCGGGGAAAACGTGGCGAACTTTTGCCATCTAGTTCTTAAGGTTCGACGTCTCCGTGACACGCGATACCGTCGAAAAAGTACATCGAAGAGGTAGTCGCGTCTAAAAAGTAATATCTTCTTTCCCGTGTTCCAGGGGAATGCGATGCCAAGAGCGGGGGCGGCTCGGTGGTGGAACATCATTCGTCTTCCTATTGGGAGCAACCCTTCAGTCAGCCCTACTTTGACAACACGACAAAGAGGGAAACTACGACGACGGTTGGCCAGTCGGCTTACTTGTACTGTAGGGTCCGCAATCTCGGAGATCGCGCGGTAAGGATTCGGCTTTTCCGCGGAACTACGCGACTCGCGATACGTTTCTTGTCTTTCCATCGGGCGCAACGTACCCTTTATTTTCTACCCGTTTCGCCGTAACTCCCCTGAATTTCAGGGGCTATATATTTTCAGCTACCGCGAAAACCTGCGTATTCTCGCCCGCTACTCGGAAATAGTTGACTTTACTTCGGCGAATTTCAAGGCTGTACATTTCGAGCCACCGTTAAAGTTAGACATTTCTACCTATTACTCGGTAATGGCTGTGTCCACCTCCGTGATTTGCGGAGGCCATAATTTTCTCCAAAGAAAGGAGTACGGGTGAAGTCTGCACCCTCTTCTCTAACCGATGCACCGCTTATCGGCAAAATTCGATAATTCATTTTTACTTCGCCCGATGCGCGGAATCGCGAGGTTCCGGGGCCGGTACGGAACTCGTTCCCCCGAAAACCCCTGGCCAATTCCCGGTTGTCCCTGGCCGAATGGCATTAGCGACTCCCGCCGTGCGATCGCGCTCCTGCATCGGCGATTGCCGCGATTGCCGCGATTGCCGCGATTGCATGGGAATACGCCGAATTGACGTCCCCGATAATAAACGTATGCGCTCTCTTGTGAAACGATTGGCCGGTGCCAATCAGCGATCGACCGAATTCGCCTCGTCGTCCCGGGCATTAGGGACACGTTGGAGAAATTAATTTCCCACCGATCGTTCGTTTTCCGGAAGGCCACGGCAATGCTGGATTCTCTCGGAGCAGTCGAACGATTACATCGGGTTCGGTTCCCCGGGGCAAAGGAAAAGAAAACCCTATCGATCCCGTCGTCCCACCGCTCCTCTCGTCCACCCCGAATCTCACGCAGGCGCTTCGTTGGATAACAGTTGGCACGTGAGAATTCGATCGAATGTAAACTTCGTTTATGCACTCTGCATATTCATCGGTTGACGCGTGCACGTACGCACGAACGTGGGGAGGTATGCGCCGCACACGATAGGTCCGTAATCCCGCGGTACCTCGGTCGCGGTACCGCGTTGTCATTCCAGGAGAAAAAAATACTTGCACTCCGACTAATAAAAAAATCACCCAACGGCTATCCCCCGCGCCAGCACCCTCCGGGCCCCCCGCTTCTCCCGCGCGACGCTCGATACTTGGAAATTAAAAACGTCAACGACGCGTAATGAGCACTTTAATCGTTTCTCTGCCCTCGAAATCGAACCGCGATTCCGGAGGCACGGTCGACCGACGAACGGGACGGTCAAAAGCTCGGGATTTCGGCGAAATTCGCTGCTTAACGGTCGGCACGTGAGAATCGGACCAAACGTAAATGTCGTTTATGCGCTTCGCCCGCTCATCGGTCCACGTGGACGCCGCACCTCCGCGATCGGTCGGCCCGAAATCACCTAGTTGACGTAACAAAATATGTTTTAATTTTCGCGCCAACGGCCGGACAAATTTGGAGATCGCGGTGGATCCGCCGTCCCTGGGACGGCCGGAAGTAATTTTGCGGACTCGTGCGCGAAGGCCCCCCGGGTGAACGGTGACGCGTTACGCAGGTTATCTGCCTTACCATGCATCATCGGGTGACGCGCAGAATCCGTCCCGGTCCGATCACCGATCGTAATCGACTATAAATCAAAGTCGGCCCCTCCTAGCCGTGGTGTAGCTACGGGCCATCTACAAATTCGCCGTTTACCCTCGCGCTGTAAAATCAATGGCAAAACATTCGGGTCGCTCGACCACGGTTTGGTGGTTTACGGTGCTTTTGTCTCGCAATAGCGCGATATCTGGACCACGGTAAAAACACTATTTTCCAAGAGTCCGAATATGCGGTCCGATGACATTCGGCCGAAATGCATTTTCGCGGAAAGCCATCATCGCCCGGCCGAACGAGCTTCGCGTTTCGATCGGCTCGTCCCGCTAGCGGCTTCCGTAAACGCCGGTCCTTTCCGTTCCTCGCTTTTCCCTCTTTACGCCGCGACGAGACTCGACTTAATTTGACTTTTTGGCGAGGACCGCTCGGCCCCGGCAAAAGGGCACAAACTTGGGAAATTGAAGGCGAGGTCTGAAAAATGGCCGGGAAATTATCTCCCGTTAAATCCCCTTTCTTAACGCTATGAAGAAGTTCCACGGTGCTTCGGCCTCCAAATTGCCAAGACGGGAGTCGAGTGATTAATGGTCCTATCGATTAATCGGCGAACCGATTAATCGTCGGAACTCCGTCGAGGCGACATCCGATGACGTCGGCTCTCTCCGTATTTGACGCTAACTCGCTAACTTAACGCATTTGCATTTCCGCAGGTGTCGTGGATCAGAAAAAGGGATTTGCACATCTTGACGGTCGGGATCCTGACGTACACGAACGACCAGAGGTTCCAATCGCTGCACAGCGACGGCAGCGACGAATGGACGCTCAAGATCAGCTCGCCCCAGGTCCGCGACAGCGGGATCTACGAGTGTCAAGTGTCCACCGAGCCCAAGATCAGTCTGGCCTACAAATTAAGCGTAGTAGGTCCGTACGCGTTTCGCGTTCTCCGACCTTAGCCAAGGAACTCGGCGCGATTCGAATCGCCGCGGCCATATTCGTCGACGAAGCAATGGTCTCGGAGGGACACGAGAGGTCTTTCATTTCGGCGCGATTCCATTAAAAAAAAATTGCCAGGGGAACCCGTGCACTCTCGTACGGCAAGTCCGAAATCGAATCTACCTCCGGCAAATCAATTTCCGGACATAACTCGATTTTTTTATTACTTTTTCGGTATACACGGACTTTAATGCGGCCCAGAATTTAATTTACGTTTCATAATTCGAAAAATTACTGCGCGCATTTTCAGCGGACTCGCGGCCTTCGCCGGTGTTTGTCGATAACGTCGCGATTCTTGTTGCGCAGTGTCGAAGGCGAAAATAATTGGTAACCCGGAGTTGTACATCAAGAGTGGAAGCGACATCAACCTAACCTGTATCGTACTGCAGACACCCGAGCCGCCGTCCTTCATTTTCTGGTGAGTTTAATTGGGTTTCCGCAAGTGCAATTCCCATCGTTACCCTCCCCTGGCCTCCCCTCTCCCTCCTTCGCGCGGATTATAACCGCCAGAATTCGTCTCCTCATTAACCGAGCGCGATTACGAGTCCGGAATTAATAGGGAAACTTTGGAAACTCACAAAGCGATTTGCCGCGCATCGGCCCAAGAGGGTTTGGCGTATTTTCGAGAGCCCATCGAGGACTCTTCGCCTTTGACGCGCGTCGCCCTTGACTCGCTTTTGCGTCGCTCCTGCCTCGCTCTTGCCTCGCTCCCGCCTCGCTCCCGCCTCGCTCCCGCCTCGCTCCCGGCGACCCGACCCACTGAGCCGGTGCGTTGACTTTCCAGGTACCGGGGCGAGCACGTGATAAACTACAGCCAGCGGGGCGGCATCAGCGTCGTCACGGAGAAGCAGACCCGAACGTCGCGGCTGCTCATCTCGCGGGCGGTGCCGGTCGACTCGGGCAACTACACCTGCGCACCCTCCACGGCGGAGTCGGCCAGCGTCCTGGTCCACGTACTCAACGGTGGGTGAGTCGCGCCTCCCCGCTCCGGAAGCGAGCCCCGGAAGCGAGCCCCGGCGGGAGTGGACCAACTTTGCGCGGCCACCCCGGGGCGGGGGGCTCGAAGAGAATATCGGTGTACTCGGGCCGTGTAATAACGCGAGGATGGGATCCGTGGGCACCCTCCGCTAAGGGCCGAAGGCCGAGTAAGGGAAGAAAGCGAGCCTCCTCCAGAGAGGAGAAGGTAAATAGAGAGTCCGACTTTACGTCCGCCATAAATCCCGCGCATGTACCGATAAACTAAACGGTGAAAGTCGTAAACGCGCGCCCGAGGAAGTGGTCGGAGCGACGACCGAGTGGACGTCGCGGAATAAATCTTTCGCATCCGTCCTCGCCGCAGCTCCGCGAGAGACGATCCGCGTCCGGTCGCGGGAAAGTTTGCAAACGTTTCGGAGGTCGCGAGCGATCGATGGATGGATGGCTCGAGACGAAGGAGGAACCCCCTCTCCGTAACGAACGGCAGGCCGGTGTCGATGCGACGCTCCGTCGTTAAAGTTTCACGGACGGATGATTACGTTACGTTACGGCGCCGCGACGTGGCCACGGAAGGCCGCTTAAATTCGCCGGCTTCTCGCTTTAAGTGGCGACGACAACGGACTCCCGGCGACGCTTACGGTAGCCGCTTACATTGAATTCGACCAAAGAAACGACGGACTCGGAGTCTTCCGTCGTCCGTCGACGACCGAGCCGGGTCGGAGTCGGAGTGGGCCCGGGTCCGCGAAGGTCTGACGCTTCCCTCTGACTTCCCTTCCGTGGGCGGGGAAGCCCGGAAGTATTTATCGTTTCAACGCCATTGCGGTAACACATAATTCCTTTCCTACGAGCGCGTTAACGATAAAATTTAGCTCCTTGCAGGGCCATTCGTCCTCGTCCGTTTCGTTCGTGTTTATCTTGTTCGAGCGGAACTATCGTTTTACTAGGTCCCGGCGCAGCTGCAGCTGCGCGGCCTGAGTGATTTGTGGCTAATTGCCAGGATTTTACGGCGTGGCGGCTTAACTTCCCACCGAGAAACCGCGAGCCGGATCTTGGGAACTTTCCTTACGGGCACGAGAGTCAACGTTATAAATCAAAAAGCCTCCTCGGGAGGAGGGACGGGGACATGGCCGAGTTAATTGTATAATTAAATTTGGCGGGACAACGTTTGCGCGAAAATTAATCAACCGCTCGCGCAAGAGGGCTCGCAGTTTTTGCATAATGGAGTAGCTTCGCTCCGCGTGGAGCTTCCAAATTTCACCGATCGCTCAATGTCGGCCAAGTTACGGGCAACGGGGTCACCCGCGTTGCCGGACGACGCTTCGAACGTGAAATTTCGCGAAAATCTGCTATGCGAAGGTGTATTCCGGGAGTTATTTAGCGGCGGCTGCGGGTGGATAGCTCGTTTCCGTTCGCTTTCTCCGGGGACGTCGCGTCGTATATGACGAGCGACTAATAAGGCGGTGGCGCGGTCTCCGTGACTCCTGACGCGTTCCGATTACGGGAAACGCATTATACGTCATTCGGATATTCGATACGTTCCGATTCGCATGCGAAATCTACGGTCTTCGGCGTATGCGCGCCAGGACCTGAGGATGGAATTCGAGCCGGCTTAAAATCTGGAAGCGCTTTGACGTTTCGCGAGCGCGAAGCGGAACTGTTCGCGAATAATCGCGGGAAGCACGTACGGTAATGGAAACGTCACCGAGCAATTTTTCATCCATTACGGGTACTTAGCGGGAGAGTGCCTACAATCTGCCGTTTTTATACTTCGGCCATTGTTCGCGGTATCGATAAGTGGGGGCGCTGAAACGCCAAGAGGTAAAAAGAGTCTCCTGAAAAGGGTGTCCGTCGGAAACGGGTGACCGTTCCCTACAAAGTCGACTTTAAAAGCAACGAGCCCCCGGAGCGAACCTCTCGACCCGTAATAAATATCCGTTCATCGCGCCTGCCCGCTCGTTTTGGTCCGTCCCTTAGAAATGGACAATTAGCTCAACGATTGGCGCGAACGGGCTCCTTCGATCGAATTCGAGCCATTCGTAATCGGCCCTACCGTGCGCGACTCGGCCCAAAGTTCGGCCCACTTTTCTGCTCTCCGCCTTTATCTCCAGCTTCCGATCGCCCCGACGGAATTTATTAACGACTCCGAGAAGCAACTTTTGGAAAGAAGGAGTAGCCGTACAAATTGCTCGCCAGGGTCAGAATTTCACTCTATCGCTTTCTATTAAAGAGAAGAAACGTTTGCGAAACTCGATTCGGTTTGAGGGCATTTTGAGTGCGGTCTGAACCAATTTTAAGGAAGAAGCATGTAACGGCTCGATTCGATATCTTGGTTTACGGACCAAGCAAAAGGTAGAACTTTTTCGTGGGACTGGATACGATATCGCGTCGGAGGAAACGCCGAGGTATGGATTAGAAGGGTCGTAGACACGGATTGGAAACTCCCCGACGAAAACGGGAAAGCAACGCGATACTCGCTGAGTTCGCAATTGAGTTCGAGGATCCAATAACTAAACCAATTATCCGGCGCCCGTGAGAAAGTTTTAATCCAGATCCCTCGCGATCTCGCGGAATTATTCTTTTGAATATTCCAGTCCGACTGCGGCCCGCCGGGAGTGGAGCTTCGAAATTAATGTCAGATTCGACGAACGTTCGTGGCATCTGCCGATTTTGTATGCTTTCGCGGAACCGTCCGCCGGTGGCGCGGAAAAAACACCGGCGATCGATACCTGCCGATTTGATTTTCCAAATTTTCGACCCGCCCAGAATGAATTGAGGCGCGTACCGAAATCTTCCTCGAAAGAAACGCGCGTATCGATCGAACCCGTGCGACGGCGACGCCCGTAGTTAACGCGTTCTTACGGCGGGAGAATTTCGAAACGAATTTCTAGAATTTTTGGGACGCGCAAACAAATCGAGCGATACACTGCAGCTCGATGGGTTTTCAAATTTTCCATCGGTGGGACAGAAAACGCGCAAAAGCCGGTCCCTAGTCGGATTTTCGATAATACCCTCCTACGGGCGAATCGGTTGGGAAGCTTGCTACGTCACGGGATTCGTCAAAAGTGTTTCCGCCTCCCTTCCGGACGGTTTTTATTTATCCGGCCACGAAATTGCAAAGCGATAGGAATCGAAAACGCACGGCTTGGTTCGCCTCGTCGCCCAGCGCGGAGGTTCGCTTAATAAGCTCGCGATTCGAGATAAAGCGGCCGGTGAAACGTTCGATTTCCCGGACAGTAACCGACCCGATAAGAGGAATTTTAATAACTGGGCGATCGATTCTACCGAGTCGACCGAGCCCGTCCACCGAACGTCCCGGCCAAGCGCGCGCGCGTCCAAGGAAGAGAGAAGGAAAACGATTCCCCCGATATCTCGCGAGTCGGGGTCCCACGTGCCAATAAAATATCTAAAGAGACGTCTAACGACAAATCCCTTTTCTACGTGCTCGGTAACGAGGGAATCGTCCTCGGCAAAATGAGAACGAAACACCTGTTCGATACGTGGTCGAGCTCATTCCCTTCTCGGAGCATTACGCAACGGCGCGGGCGGATCATTATTTTCCAACGGGACCCGGGATTTGTACCGCGTCGGTTGTGCAGGTGCACGGGGTACCTAAGTAGGCCGACTTACGTATTATGCTGGAATTTCGAGATCTCTTGCCTCGCTGGTGGTCTCCGGAATACCTGGGAACGCGACTACAAGACCGGAGAATTCCCCTCTGCCGCTCGCGGGCACCCCGGATGTGCGCGTATATCTAAATATCCCTTTCCGTCGTTCCAGGGGATGAATTTAACCCTTATTTGGATTATTAGGGTCGCCGCGACCCAATGCTCTCTCGAACTCCGTGAGACCGAAATCGATAATCCGGACAAGGCTGAACCACGTCCCGGGACCGCGTTTTCCTTCTTCCAGGTCCCTGGTTCGATCAACCCGGTCGTCTCCCTTCCCGCCCGGTCGATGGAACGCGAGGTCCCCCTGTCCTCCGATCCGCGGGTATCGATGATAAAAAATCACCGTCCAGGAATACGCGATCGCTGGCGCAACTCCGATGCGACGGTCGGCGAGGTCGCGTCGATCGAGCAGGTGCAGGCGAATCCCGACCTCGGGGGGTTCGGGCCACCGAGGTAAGGAATTCTCCTCGGCCTCCTATACGTACCCATGACGTATACGCGCAAACGTATATGTCCCCGTTCTGCCGTTCTGCCGTTCCAGGGTTGAACTTAACTACGTCCCAGGGCTGCAGCCTTCCTTCTTCTCGGTCCCTGCCTTCGACCTCCCCTACCTCCCGTGCCAACTTACGCTTCCGGGCGTCGTCGTACTTCCTCCTTCGAGACGAATACCTCCCCATTCACGGTGTGCTCTGCCGGCATCGCGTTACCCCGCACATGCCGCGACGATACCGACTTCCTCCAAGGACGAATCATATTTCCACCGGTCCACCGCCTTCTTCTACCTCGAGGCACTCTCGGTCCCCCGACGAACGTCCAGGCGCCGCGACGTCGGTGCCCGACGAAAACGCTCTCGGCCGCGATTCCATGATACGTTAAAACCAAATGCACAGGGAGAGGAAAGAATTAGCATCGAGTTCCACGCCGTACCTGCGTACTTCGAGGCGACTCGTTCGGTAGGAGAAGTTGCGCGTCGGGAGAAACTTCGGAAGGCAAGCCCGGAGTTCCTCTCGTCGTAAAATAGACGAGATCACCTGCACGAAGAGTCCTCTCGAGTGCGGGTTCTTGCTCTCCGATTCTATGAGCATCTCGCTTGAAAATGCCCCTCTTCGTCTCTCTCGGGCATTAATCCGAGCCTCGGCTTACCTCGAGAGATTTATTCCCCGCGGTTCCGAGATCTTGAAGCGCCGCAAAAACGAGTCGGTCGTCGCGGGTTTTGCAAAAGAAGCGCCCGAATACCTTTCCGACTCTCCATTAGGGAGGATAATAAGGTTCGGCCGAGTTCCTCCGATTTCGCGACCGATCAAGGGTCGAGATAATTTTAATAATGGAATATTTATGAGGCGGAAAATTAATCCGATCGGAGGAGCTCTTCCCGGCCCTCGACCGGTAGAGGCATCGCGCGAATTAAACGTATACCGCGGTCACGGAAAAAGATCCAGAGGGACTCTCCATTCTTTGCCGGAATAACTTTGCCGGTGGATCGAGGGAATTGGAAATAATTTCCGATATTTCGGATGACCTTTCAAAAGGTAGCCCGATGCGCCCGATACCCCTTCGAAAAGGGTATCGCGTTTTCGTTCGGCTAGCGCGGGCGGCGGGGCAACGATAATTTATGGATCCGCGGGTTTCTCGGCTTTCAGGGGAGCATCCCGCGGCGATGCAGCACGGGAACTCGAGCAACAGCGGCGCGGCGACGCGCACCCTGGCCCTGCTGTCGCTGCTCCTCCACGCGGCCTTTTTCGCGAGGTGACTGCTCGACGCCCGCCAGGGACCGGCGACTCCGCTCGACCGTCCGCGCGAGAGCCGCTAGGCGGATCCTCTCCGATCCCTCCGAGAAGGAGACCCCGCGCGGGACAAGGTAACTCGGGACCTCGACCGACCACCGACGCGTTCCGGGCGCCTCGCTTTTTGTATATCCCCGCAGAGTTTTCGAGTTGACGCGAGAAGGAGGGAGATCCGCGGCCGAGGCGCTCCCTTCGAACCGAGATGCGGCCGATCCGCGTCCGGGTTGCGCCGAGCGAGCACGCCGAATGGCCCGTCCAACGGACGTGAAGGACGTCGAGGGCAGAGAAGGAGGGAGTCCGATTACCGATCGATCGTCAACGAGGACGTTTCTCGTGTTTCGCCGAAGAGGATCGAGCTCGCTCGGCACGAGATTCGTCGGCGAGGCGGAGGTTCGGTCGTGGAACGCGGCTCGTTCAAGTTCGATTTTAAAAAAAAATTATTTTGGTCGATTTTGAGGACGACCTTCTTCCGATCGAGTACCCGGAAATCGAAGCTTCGACCGTTGCGCCCGTTTCTGCCTTTTCCGCCTTTTCCGCGGTTCTACCGAAACCGGTCGAGTTAATGTCCGAATCTTACGAACGTCCCCAGAAATCGTTACAACGCGATATCGCGGGGCATATCGCGCGCGGTTGATCGGTGAAAAATTTAATCGTAGCCGTTCTCGTGTCCGCGGGATCAAATTTCAAATATATCGCCGGAAAATGATAGCATATCCCGTTTCGGTTGTAGGAAACGGTATCCGCTGAAAAATGTGATGAAAAGCGTGGTTTCAAGCCGGGACGGAATCGCAGTCGTCGGTGTCGTCTAATCGGAACGATGGAACCTCCGACGAACGAGCTCGATTCTCTTGTGCGGATTTTACGATTTAATTACCTGCGCGTCCATCACATATCTATGTACGTTATAATAGAGTTTATAAGTTATAATTACTAGAATACACACACACACACACACACACATATATATATACACATATGTATCTGTACACTCCTCTAAGTCGATCGGGGAGGTTCGTGGGATAATATGCGTAGGTGCGTTGACAACCGATCGTTTTTATATCTCCGAGTTCCCATCGAACGCGAAAAGACCGATGGGAAAATCCGTCGATTCGCCTTTCTCCCTCCTTCCACCTGAACGAGACGTAGTCGAGAAGGTAATAACTTTATAGAAAAATGACGAGAAAAGTTTCTAAACGTATGGCCTAAAATTACGTTACGAAGAATTCTTGTATCTTTCGATTCCGCGTTTCATCTTGCTAAAAAATATAATTTTCAATTCCGTTATCGTTGCCGTACATACCGAAGGGTTGCGAGGGTGAAGTAAGAGGTATTTAGACGTTTAAGACTCGAGGACAATTCTTTTTCATAAAAACTCGAGCTTCCTTATTCATGAGAAGAAACAATAGAGTGAAGTTTTCAAGGATTAAGCTAATTACATGAGCATAATATGAACGCAACGACAGTCGTCTGCTCTACCTTATTACTTTTAATTTGCTTACTGGACCGTTTGCGCGTAATTATTCTCGCGAAAATAGCTCCCGGCACAATCAAGAATATTTGAGATAAAACGCGGAACAAAGTGCACGGACAAAGTGCTGTACATTCTGCAGTAAATTGGTATAATATCATTACCCGAATATAAAATACGATTCGTAACCAGCGCGCGCGAGCTTTTGAAATCACGCTTGCAATCCCGAAGGAAACGTACCCGTGGATTAAAATATTCGGCAAATTTATCTTTTCCACTTTTTAAATACAGCTAGATCCGGCTAATTCTCCATATCACAAAACATCTGTATCCGAGGCTACATTATACAGTCAATGTTTTATGATATCGATAGCTGATTAAAAGAATTAACGTTTGACCGGTTAATTTTCCCACTCGACAATTCGTAACGAACGAAACGAGACGCGAGTGAGCGCAATCGCATGTTAACGATAATCGCGCCCGACATTCTTCACGCACCCCACTTGCCATTTACCGGGTGCGCGAACGCTGAAACGGACGTGGGGGCCCTCGTCGAGGTATCGTTAATACTTAAAGTTAATCCCATAAATAATCGTAATGGTCTATTCGTGTATACGTCATAGATACCCGAGGCGGACGCAACGCACGTTTACGCGTCGCTGGATGCGAGGCGTGTCGGAAAAATTGGGAAATCGTGGTTGCGTCCGACTTGCTTAGTCGTAACTTGTACATATGTACCTTAAGTTAAGTAGGACGAGCGATTACTATAATCCTCCGCAGCGCGAACGAGGAGCGAGTCGAGATCAGCGGATTACTACGGCAGGGTTCGCCGGGGATTTCTCGGTTAATCCGCGGATCTCTGTGTGAATAATATTTAAGATCGTATAGGAACCCTCGGCACAGTGGCCGTACTTAAATCGTAGCTGCATCGCTCCGCGGGAAGTGCATTCCGTGCATGCGAACGCACTCTAAACGGAGCGCCCGTTATTTCTCGATGAATTACCGAACACACGTCGACGTAACGTAATTTCCGAGATAGTTACTTGGCTTAACTGTGATTTACTTGGGTAACGCGAGCATGGATATACCAAAAATTGCGCTTATTCGTAAGAAGGAACACGATTTTCCGTGCGATCGTTTTTCCGTTTCCCTTTCGTCCACGATATCGATTAAGACATCACCTCAAGGTACGCGTGCAATCGTATAGGTAGATTTCGTGCAATTTAAACCTCTGCGCTGTAGGTACTCGCGGCGAGGAAAATCGTCGTCCTTCCTTTTCCGCAAAGCATCGCAAGGGTAGGAGTCACGTGCAGAACGCGATATTAATTTATTGACCAAGGTCTGCTCGATGTAGGATTGGTGTGCTTTAAATTGGCAATGCGCAACCGATGGCTAGACAATTATTAACGATTTCGTGCTCGTCGGGAGAAACGTTTAGTATTATTTTTAAACAATGCAATAAAGCGATAACCATCCGTTATCGGCATCGTTTACATCTTGGGAGATTCCAACGATTGCGTTAACGTTAATAATGCATCGATAAATAAACTACACCGAGCTTTAATTTCCGGGCAAGAGTACAATGGAAGTATATATTGACTCATATTTTATTACTTGTTACGATGTCAAAGATTTTATTGAAATATAATTTATATCAAACGAATAAACCCGACTCGACCGAAACGTAGCTCGACTCGACGGCAGGGTTACTCGAAAATCTTGCGAGCGTCGACGAGTCACGATTCGTCGTTTCCAAGGGCGAAATCGGATTCGGCGTCGGCACACTCCGGGAATCGTTCTCCGAGAGGACGAGATCGACAACGAGCGGTTGCGGCGCCACGAGATTTCATTGACCCAGAAGTCGGGAGTCGAAGGAGAATCGGCCGATTTCCGAGATCACGCCGGTGCCCCCCCGACGTCTCCGCGCGCATTCATCGGCAGGTTAAATGCGGTAGCACGAGGCTAAAAAGTGACGATTGCGGCTCGAGAGCCTTTCCAGTGAAGGGGGTGCAATTAACTCGATCCCCCTTCCATAGGTACCGGGGCGCATCTCGGGGATGAATTCATCGGCCGATGAAAACGCGATTTCATCGCGATCCCCCATTACGCTCCGCAGAAAGGCGCCGTGAATCGACGCGGAGACGCGGGGGTGGCGCAGGGTGAACGCTACGTAAATGCTTCGGGTTTTTGGGACCCGGTGAAAGGGAGCGAAAGAATTGTGGAAAATCTGACGGGGGAAGGGAAGAAAAAATATTTGAAAAAAAAAGGAAATATATAGATAGAGGGTTACGGATGGAATTCGCGCGCTAACGACCCTCGCGAATCACGGTCAGGAAGAGCGAGCACGTTCGCTCGAAGGGGCGAACAATCGGTAGCTTAATTAGTCTCAACAAGTACAATTATGCAGGTTTGCGCGTCAGGGGGTTTACGCTTACGTCGACTGCGTTTACGGCGCGCGTCTCCCCGATTCCGCGGTTCCGCCGACTCCGCTGAAAGGCGGCTAATGGAAAAAAAATATGAAGAAAGGGAAAAGGGGGAAGAGCAAAATGGCGTTTCCGGTCGCGAGTCGCGGGTCGCGCCGAGCTTCTTTTATACCGTGAACGAATCATCCCTTTTCACCCCTGCATACGTTTCAAAGAATCGCGCGAGTGCGCGCTCGATTCGAGACCACCCGGGTACATTCCGAGATCATTCCAGCCGATTCGCGAGCGTAGGCGAGAGAGGACGAGTGCACCCTAATTTAAGTTTTAAGATACGCGAATGACTGGTAGCGGTAAGCGTCCCCTTGTGCGAGTTCAGTTGTTAGAGCGACCGATAATACCGTATTACCCACATAGCGACGCTAATCGACGATGTTATTAAATCATTAAGTACTACCCGTGTACATAAAGTAACTCGTAAACGACGAAGTCGATTATGTTGGATCCAATTGTACCAGAATTCGTATAAGGCAATTAAAAGAATACCGATTATTTGTGGGAAGACTGACCTGACATCGTCGTTGACTCATCGATTCTCCTTCGTACTTCCAGGCATCCATCCAGTGCTCGAGTACCGATTTTACGGTTTCTCCCGCGATGTCGTTGCGTCGAGTAAAAAAGAAAAGTTACTCCCACGACGGACGAGGATCCTCGGTTGCGGCGGAAGAGGCGTCGTCGTCGTCCCCAGGTCGTGAATAGACGTCGATCTCCGTCCAGGGTTCGGGTAGCGAGGTACGGGGCGGAATTTGCGCCTTTCCTCGGAACGGACCTCGCCGTCGAGACGCGATCTCTTCGATAACGAAACACGGCCGGTCGGGTGATCGCAATAGAATCGGAGTAAGTACACCCCGGGTTTCGAAAATACCGAGGGGCAACCGCCATATTTCACTTGCGAGCTACGCGCGCTTACACGGGCGGCCGTGTATGAGAAACGAGGTGGAGGGCATCTACCTCGAACCATGAATTTATCGCCCACCATAGACCGCGTGATACATCGGTTCTCCGTGTCCATAGAAAC